CGTAAAAGGAGACATGATCAAGAAGGGAGTGATGACTGAGATGACGTATGATAGAGTTATGTGGAGGACAAAAACCTGTTGCGACCTACGGGGGTAGGATAAGGAGAAAGATGATGATGATGCAGGGATGAATTTATTTAACATATCCCCATCTCTTTCTTTCTTTTACTTTTACTTCTGTCCTTATCTTCTCGTTTAAAATATTGGCAAGAGTCATTTAGTTCCTTTCCGTTTAGATTAGCCGTTTAAAGATTTTACTGATTATTTTAATTAATTGTTACATCGATACCAATCTATAGTGCGTATATCGATTACAATGATCATTCCGATATTATTTTGACAAAACTTTCCCAATCATTGTATTAGTATTCAAGTAACATATCATATCATACTTAATACTTAGTAGTAATATTATAAATACGTAAGTTTAGGTGGATGGATGTTTCTTACAGTTTGTAGCCTAAATGCTGAACGGATATCGATGAAATTTGGTATAAATGTAGAGGATAGTCAGGAAGTACATATTACATTTTTGTGTTTTTTAATTCCACGCGGACAGAGTCGCGGCGAAAGCTAGTAATACGTAGATCATTTTCTAGCCGTTCGGCCTTTCGCTCGCGCCGCCCGCGTGGAATTAAAAAAAACAAAAGCCAGTAGCTTATGTTCTTCCAGACTATCCTCTACATCTATACCAAATGTCGACATCTGTTCAATAGTTTAGGCTACAAACTCTAACAAACATTTATAAATTCATTCAAACTTTCGCAATAAAATGTTAATAATACAGATTAATAATTTACCTAAGTCGTTTGTATTAAATCCAATTTAAAAACACTCCGACGATTAAATTTCTATGAGGAAACATTCTAAAGCGGTTTGTGAACGGTAAATACGAAAGTAACGATACTTCTATAGTTATAAGGACATTCTGATGAATGAAGGCAATAGGGGTGATAAATTCTTATACGGAAATAATTAGAAAGGTCTTATAATAACACTCATTTAGAGAAAAAAAACATTAACTGAATTTAATTTTATAGACACAGATGAAAGTCGGAATTACTTCCACTTCACGCTTTTAACGGGCGATTTAGTTTATAATTTCTCAAAAAAACAATAGCAACGTTATAAAGAGAAGCAATTGTCATTTTTGACCGACTTCCCAAAAGAAGGAGGTACTCAATTCGTCTATATGTTTTTTTTTATGTGTTACGGCATAACTCCGCCGCTAGTGGACCGATTTTGATAATTCTTTTTTTATTCGAAAGGTAATGCTTGCAGGTGGGTCCCTATTTTTTGTTTGATTTTTTGTATGTAACAAATAAACTCTTATGCACTGATTTTAATAATTATTTCACCATTATTAAGCTAATATAGATTAAAAATACTAGTTTTTTTTTCTATTTCGCGGGCAAAAGACTATTAATTATTAATCAAAAATTAACAATACAAATTAGAATTTGAATTATTGTAATATTAAATTTTCTAAATATTTATTTTGCAACTATAAAATAGTTTTAACAAAATAATTAATTAAACATCTATTTTTTTTAATTGAATATTAATAAAGATAATAAATGTAAAAGGTAAATGAATATTTACCGTTATGTTTTAATTCGATTTTTCCACAGAAAAATACGATGTCACACACTTGCAACTCGAGTTCGAATTTTCAGATTGTCTCGACTAATGTATGATCCGGGGTACATTGCTAATATATAGAATCATCGTGAGCTGCTATCTGATAAGGTTTATCAGCTAGGAGTATACTAATCATCTAAATCACAACATAAACCGCTACAGACGTCGATTGTTTTATGTCAGTTGTAAAATAATCAAAGGGTTTCTCAATTTCGCCGCTAAAAGATCGTTTGCACAGAGCAGTTTTGTATAGAGTAATCAAGAAATCAAATAAATGTTACGAGTAATTCCTTCCGTTAATAATGATAACATTTTTGTTGCAAAAACAAACGAATTAGAGGTCTTATACATTACTTCATTTAAATGAAAACTATCCTTCGAGAAAATATAAAAATTGTTACTGTTGTTCGAAGACACGATCAGTTTTTGGACTAGAGAAAAGGTAGAGTAGTTAAATAAAAGCAGGCAAACCAAAATACAAAGTATAATCTTAATTAAATGAATAAATCCTATATATATATATATATTTAAAACATAAGGTGACAAACGAGCAAGCGGTCACCTGAAATCGCCAAAGTGGCGAAGCGACCGCTGCCCATAGACATCCGCAATTGCGGATGCGTTGCCTACCCTTATCCGACGGAGGAGGAGACGCACATAAAGAGGATATTTCCCCTTCCTATGCATCTTGTCCACTGTCAAATCCACTTCCTCTTCCCAACCTTTCTTTACAAGAAAAGGGTGGTAAAGAGAAAGGAACTTAAATTAGGCTTCCGGCACCACACTCATCAGACGAAACACGGAATTGTTTCCAATTCACGGCTGTCTTCTGTGTGATCGTGGTATTACACCGGGCGTGCCGGCCCATTCGTGCTAAGATGTTAAAGCGGGCACGACCACTGTTAAAATATATTACTTCACTTTAAAAAATATATATATTTCATGAGAGCCTTGGCTCCTGCACTAGGTACCCCTGTGCTGCAGGAGCCAATCCCTTTCCCCATTTGTGAAGAGCAATACATATTCATAAGTATTAAAACATAAAGTACAAAGAAAACCATTAAACAAGCAATTCCGTGTTTCGTCTGATGAGTGTGGTGCCGGAGGCCTAATTTAAATCCCTTTCTCTTTACCACTCTTTTCTTATGAGGAGAGGATGGAAAGGATGTGCTTCTCCTCCTCTGTCGAATAACGGTAGGCTACGCATCTGCAATTGCGGATGTCTATGGGCAGCGGTCGCTTCGCCATTTTGATGGATTCAGGTGGCCGCTTGGTCGTTTGCCACCTTATGTTATAAAAAAAACATTAAATTAATTATTTAATATGTTCTAATAACTTCTGTTCATCAAAGAATAATAATATCGATTAATTTTCAGATAACAATAACTGTCAATTGTGATTTTAGGATTTAATATTTATGCGTCATAATGCTTCTTAATTTGTAAATCTTTGTGTTGTTTTAAATTTGCATTAAAAGCTTAGTTATCTACTTATGATAATAAAAATGTTGTGGTTTGAATGATTTCATTATTATTTATGTTTGTCTGGTTACATTGGAGGCCAGTGCACTTTCTTTTTTTGCACGTCTTTATTAATTTCTTAAACAGTAAGTTAATATTTTTTCCTTTTTTGACCGACTTCCCAAAAGACGGACGTACTCAATACGTCTGTATGCTTTTTTTATTTTTTTTTAATGTGTGTTACGGCATTACTCCGCCGCTAGTGGACCGATTTTGATAATTCTTTTTTTATCCAAAAGGTAATGCTTGCAGGGGGGTTCCATTTTTTTGGTTTTAAGCTAAATAGGTTTGGGTGAGCTATTGTTGTGTATACAGTAAGCCTCCTTATAACGTATGATGGCTCCGCGTTATAGGAGTCTCCCGTATAACACTTTTTGCAATATGGCAGAGTTAATAATTAATTTAAATTAATATGGCAGAGTTATAAATCGAGTTATAGGTTTTTTTTATTGCTGGGAATATTCACGGAATATAGGGCAACTTTCGGGTCATGGAGGTACGGAATTCACGTTGTTACGGTTTTCTGTACTTTTTAATAAATAACGCTAGTCATATTATAGTAATGATAATCTATAATGACACATAGCATGTCTAATAGTTAAATCATTGATAAGAAATCAGATATCTCTACATTTAGTTACTCTATGTACATTAAACATTCAACATAAGGAAAATAGTAACAAAAACCCTTATTGAGTAATGACGAATAAATCCCCTTTCGTCATTTTTTTTATTAAGGGCTCTTTTTTGGTTAATCTTATCTTGTTTCTCATTTAACCATAGTATTTTTTCACTTTGAAATTGTTAATGCTTATAACTAGTGACATAGTTAAAAGTCTTTCAGAATTAAGGCGTAAATAATCGTTTTTATCTAGATCTTCACTCCAATATTTATCTATACTGATATTATAAAGAGGAAAGATTTGTATTTTAGTATGTATTGAAATAACTCAAAAACTACTGGGCCGATTTCAAATTCTTTCATCATTAGAAAGGTCATTTTTCTGTGAGTAATTTGGGCTATGTTTTTTATTATTATTATAATTTCACGCGTGCGAAGTCGCGAACAACAGCTAGTTATTAATAAGACATTTAATAATTAAAGTTTGTAGTCTAAACTGCTGAACGGATCTCTATAAAATTGGTCATAGAGTAGAGCAAAGTAAGAATGGACTACTTCCATTTTCTTCTATTTAAATTACACCTAGATGGAGTCTCGCAAGCTAGTAACATAAGAATGAGGAATAATTTGACAGTTTGTTAGCATTTGATTGGCTCCGAAATTGCTGTTCCAATTTCAAAACTCATCGACGTTAGAAATCTACATTATCAATCAGCAATATAGACTTTGTTTTTTTTTTATCAACTAGAAGGGTATGGAGATCACACAAGATAAGAGACGTGCTCTTTGCCATCCAGGGGAAGATGGGGCGGATCGCTTGTTAGTTACTTTTTTTAGAACTTCTCTAGATATATTCTTAGAGTATGATAATAGGAACGCCATTGAAATATTGTATGTGTACGCAAACGCAAGGTTAGTATGACAACAGATTATAAACGACTTTAGTT